GGCGGGACGGCGCCGCCTCGGACGAGGGCCCGGAGGAGGGCGGGGAGACCTCGGAGGGCGACGAGTGGGACCGAATGATCAGCGACATCAGCAATGACATTGAAGCGCTCGGCTGTAGCCTGGAAGGTGAAGGCGCTATGCCGTAATCCCTCAACGGAGGGCGGGACGGCGCCGCCTCGGACGAGGGCCCGGAGGAGGGCGGGGAGACCTCGGAGGGCGACGAGTGGGACCGAATGATCAGCGACATCAGCAATGACATTGAAGCGCTCGGCTGTAGCCTGGAAGGTGAAGGCGCTATGCCGTAATCCCTCAAGACTGGATTGATGGCATCATCATACTGAAGGTTAGTCGTCATATGAAGTCAATCAAATGCACTTAGGGTGACATGCAGTCAATCTCTTGTTATTTTTGTACTCACTTATAGGCAGTATCTGCCACCGCTGTCGGCAATGTAGCGACAACCCGTTCCTCACGAGTGTATGGAATCATCTTGTATTTGGGTTATTTTGTATTATTGCTGCCTTATTCTGACCCCCCCACCCCCACTGTTATGTGTTTGTTTTTGTCCGGTTTAGTAGCGTACATTGTACCCTCTCTTGTTCACAATTTTTGAGGGATTTTGAAACTATCATTCATTTTGTTCTCTCTGAAACAGCCTAAAATACAGTCAGACCAAATCAAGCTGTCACTTCGTCAAGCTTGGTTGAATGTCTTGATTCGAGTTTGACTTGTTTGCTGCTTCAGCGGGTTGCCAAAGAAAACTCGGAGAAAGTGAACGCTGGATTGTAGCGGTGATGTTCTCACCAAATTCAGGGATTTGGAAACAGCCGTGGAATCGACACCAAAGTGTTGTCGGAAGCAGAATCCCAGGCCATTTGCGCCCCCTGTAGCCCACGATCAGACATGACAGGCCCGACCAGATTAGGAAGGCGCCTCACACAATTACCATGTGTTGAGAAAGTTTTTCAAAAGAAGTTACGATGTGTTCCAAGCGTCTGGGAGGGTTGACACCGCTTTTGAAAATGTGTTCTTGAATTCATGGATTTGAATCTGGAATGTATCCCCCACGATGAACCGCTTTAGTGGAAGCAGCCCCGACACATAAGTGGAGCGAATGACGGTCCCATTCGATGTCCTCCACAAAAAGTATCGACACGATTTTTAAAAGGGTGCATGTTTAATCGGGAACGAAATGTCACCACAAATGCCTAAAGACACGAGATGTGGAAAAACACACTGTCCTTTCTTCGTGTGCCAAGTGCAATAAATTAACGGAAAAGTGCTCCGAGCACTGACAAAAACAATTCGAAATGTGTCTTCTATTGGAGAGACGAAGCTCGAAAGCAAATGCCATACTTACACGACCGGCCAATATGTTCAAATGTATGAAAAACGACAACCCAAAAGTCATTGCGCCACACACCGTCTCGCCCTGAGCTCGATCGGATGGAATCATTCCAACTTTGAAATGAAACCGTCCATGAATCGTTGCGCACATGAACTGGCCCCGATCGTCTTCTGTGGACGGACGCGCACCCCTACTAATGAGGCGCCCCGCCGCTCGCGAACTTCCCCGCGCCCCGCCCGCCACGCCGTCCAGCAGCTCCGCTGTCCGGGTCTCGCCCAAAGGCGCCGCCAGAGAGCCGAACAGCTGCTGCATGAGCGACGACTTCTTGTTCTTCTCCGCCGTCTCTGCGCCCTTGAGGCTGAAGACGCCGATGGCCTCCAGCGCGTGGTCGCCGTCCTCCCCGGCCGCGCTTTGGCGGGGGTTCCCGAGCGAGGGCGCGTAGCTCGCGAAGATCCAGTCGTCGTTGGACTTGGGGGAAGAGAGGCTTCGCCGCCGGGCCGGCGACGGCGACGGCGGGGTCTCGGCGGCCGCTGCCGCCGCGTTGGACTCGGACGAGTCGACGAAGACGGGGTTCCGCGCCTCCTCGTTCTGGAGGTCGATTTCTCGCATCTTGGCCAGCAGCTGGTCTTTTCTGCGACGCGCCTCGCCAGCGTCCCCGCCGTCGTGGTGGTTCCTCCGGCGGTGCGCTTCCTCTTGAGCGTGGACGCTCTTCCGCGGATTGGTCAAGAAGCCGCCCATGTCGACCTCCTCCTTTTCTTTCTCCCAGTCTGTGACAAATCACAGGCGCAACAGGAAGTACGCCGGAAAGCGGAGCGGCTGCGATTGCACTTTTGCGGACTCCACTCACCAGCGCCGAATAGCTTGGCCGTCACTTCGAGGCCATCCGGAGTGTTTGCTTGACGTTCCTCCTCCGACTCCTTGGCTTCACTCGATTCTCTCAGGTCTTGGCCCGTCTTCTTCGGATGCTCCTGCTTTGGTTTCGCTCCGCTGTCCACTTCATCCACTTGCTGGCCACGTCAAAGCGGAGAAACAAAAAATGTTGGCCGACTTCGCTACCGAGTGCTAAGGCAGATCACGGTCAGATATGTTACCTTGAGGGACAGGTATCCGTCAGGGGCCGGATCGTTGTCCCCCACCAAGGCGGGTGGAGGCGAGGGGAAATCGGGGCTGCTGCTGCTGCGCTCGTGCGTCTGCACCGCCTTGGAATGCGTCCGGCTGGAGACTTTTTCCAGACAAGACATTAATTCAGCGACGCTTCTCTTTTTTGTAACCGTCTCGTCAAAGGGCGTCTCTGCCTCACGTTTGTGTTTCGGGTCGCCGTCGGTGGCTTTCCTCGGTGAGACTTTTCCCATACGGTGAGCGTAAATGTTGCGGCTCTCTAATTCCCGTTCTTTTTCCTGGAAAAGATGACGACATTGTTGCTCACCTTTCCGTTTGTTGCGCATTCATTGGGCGTTTCGGTGGGGGTGATCGGAGGAAACGCAACGGAATTTCTCTTGAAATTGTGGTTGCGTGTGTCGTTCACAGGCGAGTGTACGCTTTGCATGCGCTTCGACAGTCTGTCAGCACCCTGAGTTTGTTGGCCAGTTGTTCCAGCTCCTTTTGCAGACTCCTCATCTCTTCCTGTGCGGCGAGCGTCCTCTTCCTCTCGGCCGCCAGCTGCCTGTGGTGGCTGCCGTTGATCAGCTCCGTGTTCCTCTCCAGCTCCTGCGCGCACACGGGACCAGGCGACACAAACCCGAGTGTTTACCGCCAAGCTCCGCATGAAGGTACAGGCTGTTTCGATACGGGAAGTGCTGAGCGTTGTGATACATTGTCAACAACAAGGACCGCACGTTGAAAACCACACGGTTAAGTCATGTGGCTACGGTTCAAAAGAATTTGTGGGGTTTGGCGGGTTGTGTTCTACTGCCCCATGGCGGCACAATGCCCATTCGCCGATGAAGACGCAAGGAAACGCACACAGTTGAATTAGTTCCGCTCTCCACGATGCGAGTATTGTAGCGTGCGCATCGTTGTCGGCGAGAAGAGTTTGAACGGCACCTTAATTTTGAGCTCGGCCTCGTGCGTTCGCGCCCTCTCCTGGTCCAGCTTGCAGCTGAGCTCCTCGCGCGCGCCCAATTCGCGCTGCTCCACCAGCTTCTTCATGCGTCCGACGGTGGCGTGGCTCCTCAGCAGCTGCTCCTCCTTCTCCTTCAGGCGGCGCTCGGCGGCGCGCTCGCGCTCCCGCGTGCGCCGCAGCCGCTCGCGCAGCACGTGCGTCTCGTTGGCGTGGCACGACAGCATCTGGGAGATTTTGCTCTCGGCATCCGTGTAGTTCTGAAGGGCCTTCTCCTGACGCGTGTGAAGCTGCCGCCCCAAATAAATTCAACGTGAGCCGAATTACAACTTTTCCCGTCACTCAAAATCATCGATGGCATTTTTTTTTTTTGTTTTTGCGGAAGACGGGTTTATCAATTACAGGTGGGCCTGGAATGGCATTTACTGTATTTTTATGAATTTATTTCTTAAACTGAGAGTACCTGCTTAAGAATCCGATTTTCCTTCTGCAGCTCAGCAATGCGCAGCTGCAGCTCACCGTGCACATTGCGCAACTCGTTGATTTTCAGTAAACGGCCCGACAGCATTTGCCTAGTCAGGGGGTCCAGGTCTTTGGGAGGGAGGGATTCTTTGCTGTGCGACCGCGTCGCGCGGCTTCGGCCCGGACGCGGCGGGCGGGACCGGACCCGCTTCTCCATACCTGACACGCATGGGGGGGAATGCTAAATTCAAATTTAACTTCAAACATCGCCTATAGAGTAAATAGTGTATTATTAAAGAGTAAAACAATCACATCAAATGTAATTGTTCTTGAAAACACTCAGCTCCTTTCCAGGTGCGCGGCAAACCTGTATTGTAGGGCGAACTGCTGGAAATCAGGTTTGCACGAGCCGGCGGCGTCGGCGAGAGCGTCTGATCTGGCGCGTACGGCGAGAGCGAGCGCTCCGAATCGTTGTCATAGTCATCCGAGTAAGACGTGCCCTTGCTCCGCCGCCCCTCGTCGTCCGACGCCCGGTGGGGATCGGCGGGGTAGATTTCGGTCTGGGAAGCCAGCTTTTCATCCTGGATCTTGTCCCGGTAGTTCTTGTAACGCTTGTGCTTTTTGCTGGCGGACGCTCGACTCTTCCTGCTCCCGAGGGAGCGTCGGCTGCGATTGTCATCCCAGTCGTCTTCGGACGCGTTGCACTTGGACTCCATTTTGTTTTGAGTTCACCAAGGCAAGACTGTCGTGAATGGTTTGGGAAGGGGAGAGGAAGGAAATGTCGAGATGTTTTGTTTGTGTTTTTTTTACCCTGCTCATAATTAAAACATCACGCTCACAGATACTTATTCAGAAAGAAGGCAGCTCATAAAAGATTTGCAAAGACCAACATTGATTAGCCAACCTCAATGTTGCTACCAAGCAATGGAGGTGGAGACACTTGACATAACCGAGACCAACGGGTTGCTCTGAGGACTTGCCGGTCTCTTAGCAACAACACAATGCGCTCGAGGCTTTAAAACAGACATGAGAGCAAGTCTTGCACAAAGTGTATTTTGCTCAAGATGCAGAGAAGGTACGTGTTTTGACAATTGGAAGGATGAACCAAAACTGACTGCAATGGCCACCTCAACTTGAATACAACACACCAAGAATTCAGGGTAGTTGTGGTGCAACGTGCTGCGGTCACGATCTGCTCCATGGGTGGTACGGTGGCAGTTGCTTTCCAGTTTCCTCACCATCGATGCTGATCTCCTTTAGCCCGTCTATGGCGTTTTCTAGAGTATGTTTGCAGTAAGGTAGCACACGAAATCACGGTGCGGTTGCAAACCTTTTCGTGTCATAATATACAATGACTAATTGGGTTATGTTTGGGTGATTTTTACCCGAAACTTCACTTTGGTGTGACAAACGGCTTGAAGCAAGAGAGTCTTCTTTTCACATCCTCAAAGAGATCGAATTTGATCCCTTGACCCGGACAAAGCGAGAACAGATGCAAAGGGACGCTCTCTCGCTCAGTGAGGTCTGCGATGCGTTCCCCGCAATAAACCGGGGTCCACTGCACGTGGGAGTGGAACAAAATCGCACATCGGAGCTCCATTTGAACCGCGAGCCACAGTCTAACTGCGGCCAAAATAGAGACAACCCTCAAGCAAGTCGGAGCAGCTTGATGGGTACGTTTCTATGGCAACGCAAGCCCGCAAAGCCAAAATCAAGCTTGTAATCACCTCGACGAGTCGTGCACTTGTCCACTTCGGTCCAAGTATTCCTTCCCAGTCTGAATTCTTGTCGAGTTCGCTGCTAAAATTGGATGGAGTGTCGTTGCAAGCATTGGGAAGCGACTCCACCTTCGACGGGATTACGCTTAAACCCTCACCACCGTCTGCTCTTGTCGGATGCTTTATTGTCACCGCTGACACACACAACTGGGCCTCAAGCACCAATTTGTCCACGTTCAATAAATAACGTGTGTGTGTGTGTGTTTTGAACGCCACCCCAACCGAACAGCTATATTGGAGGAGCTAACGGAAAGCTAGGCGGGCTGCTCGGTTAGAACAACGAAACACTGCCACGGGTGAGGCGGGTCTTACCGTTAGGTGTCCTCGTCTTCCACCTTCACGGTCATGACCCCACCGGAACCGCTCGTGGTTTCGACGCTAAATGTGACATGACTGTTGGACAGTCTCAAGAGTGGGAAAACTCGCCTGAGAATCACAGGGGGGGGGGGGGTCTTAAAGTTGTGGCTAAGCTAACACCGCTAACGTGCTACAAAGCCGCGCGAGGTATCCTCCCCGCCTTGTTTATTTGTCCGAATTCAACACTGGCGTCTTGTGCGCGCGGGTAGTTTGTGTGGATGCCCCGAGCTTGTTGATCGAGATCGAACCGAGAAGGACGAGGGGGAGGGAAGACGGAGAGCAGGAATGACGGCCATCGCTGGCTGGCTGCTGTTGCATAGGAACCGCGTTGATGACGTCACCAGATAGTCTTGCGTTACATTACGCGCTTGACTCGGCCTACGGCGGTGCAGAAATACTGAGAAGTTCCATCGCTGGCAAACAAAATTAATCGCGGGGGGGGGGGGTAGAATAATATAAATAAAACTGTGATCGTTGCACTGACTGGGAATCGAAGTGATGGTGTCACTTTAGCACCAGTCATGCCTTCTCATATATTTTTTTCGTGTTTTATTTTTTTCCCATTTTTAATTTTATCTTCTCACTTTTAAGTATCGTTTTTTTCACTATTCATCATCTGCAGAGTCAGACAAAGTGGGTGTGAGTAAAAAAAATTGTTTAAACTTAAATATTTTCTTTCTTCCGTGTTATTAGTCTCGATCAAATACAATGAAGACCAAGGCTATTAATTACGAAAAAAGCCTATAATAAAGGCTATTCATCAAAATAAACCCAACTTTAAGGCTATTAATGTCAGTAAAGTCTGAAATGAGGCTGTTATCTACAATAAAACGTCGAACAAAAACTAATAAATACCTTCAAAATAAAAAGGATCATGTTTTGTGTCGAATTTCGTTAGCTTGTAATGTAAATTTTTACAGCTTTTTTTCCCTCTGAAACAGTATTTAAGATAGACTGTGTGCTTTTCTGTCGATAATATTTTAATCGTCGACGCGTTACAAGGAGAAAATGGAAGAACATGACTCCCTTTCTTTTAATTTGAAAAGTAGCGCCGGAAGCTTGGCGTTCAATATCGCTAGCCTTTCAGTACAAGCGTGAATAGAGCGTAGTTTAAACGAAGGCGTCGTCTTCTCTGTCATGTAATAAAACACACTTCGTCGTGCGCGTTTCTCGCTTCCTTCGCTGCTTTTGAGCGACAGCGTCGGTTCAACTTGGTCTTCCCTCGGCGAGCTCGTAATGTGCGCTTAAAATGGTCATCATCAAGGTTTACGTCGCCTCGTCAAGTGGATCTGTGGCGGTGAGTGATGAGGGATTCTCCTCACTTTTCTTTCTTTGTGGGTTATTGATTCAATGCAATAAGTTACTAGATTTACAACGGCGCATTGCCTTTGATCGTTGACAAAGAAAGTACTGTACAATAGTTTTCAAGTTCTATACAGATCACAGGTGGGGAAAGTCCAGTGCCGTGCAGTGCAGTCAGTCATAGTACCCCGGAATAAAATGACTCTTTGGGTTAGTGATGCTTGAGTGAAACTTGTCAGTGCAAAAAAAAATGTCTCGTAGTGATGGAATACAGGGGGAGAGAAAACGATGGGGCCACGGATGCCTGAGTAGTTTGGAAGTGACGTGGAAACCGCATGTCCAAACGGCTCGAAAATAACTTTGGCACAAGCCACGAATGGGCATTTGGATATTGTCAGCATCATAAATTGTTTGTCCAGTGTACAAGCAACGTTTAAAAGTAACGTTTACAGAGTTTGAACTGCTATACGAGTATAAATCTTCACAAAGTGCTGCGCCATTTTAAAGTTGACTGAGCAAAAGTAACCCAGATGTTGCAGGCTTGTTAACAACACGCTTCCGCGTGGTGTTTCAAATTGACAAGACATTTATTTTCACTTTGCAGGGACTTAAACTGTTGTCGAAGCAACAGTTGTATGCTTTTGCATTGCCCATTTGTCCTCAGGAGTCCTGTTTTGTGCCCGTTTGTGCTGTAATGAAAGGTTTAATCCAAGTTAATCCCGTCATTCGGAGTGCAAACAATACCCTTGCATGCTCGTATGCAGTGTGCGGCATTTCTATTTTTAGCATTGGATTCTTTTTGCAATTCACCCACAAATCTTGAATCTGGCACATCCAAAAATGATGACACACCTGTCACTCAGACACCCTCTCGGTCTGTCTCTCTCTTGCTCACGCATGTACGCGTGAAATCGGTTGATCCAGATTCTGATCCTGATCACATGGATTAGCTGCATGTTTTTCAACATGAGCTGCTCACTCACGATTACTGTAATGGTTGATTAATCTGTCAATCTTTTTGCCGACTTGACGACTCAGATTCAAACAAACAAAACATTGGATCCAAATGTGCATGGCTTGACCATGATCTTGAATCGAGAATAGAGAAAATGCCCCAACATATTTTAGGATTCGGCTACCGGGTTGGCCTGTGACACGAGTGTAAGGAGCTTCCGGTGTTTCTCGTGGCAGGTGAAAAAGCAGCAGCAGGCGGTGGTGGGCTTCCTGGAGGCCAACGGAATCCACTTCCAGCAAGTGGACATCGCCATGCTGGAGGAGCAGCGGCTGTGGATGTACCGCCACATCCCTTGCGACAAGCGGCCGCCCAACGGCAACCCGCTGCCGCCGCAGATCTTCAATGACGACGTCTACCGCGGGGTAGGATGGAGACACACCCTCACCACCTTGCGACATGTCCTCCTGTGTGCGCCTCATAATAATGTGCATTTGTTTCCATGCCGGCCCTTCCCAAATGCCGATTGCCATCATATCTGATTTTTAGTATGATTATTTTTTTTTCTTTTAAACACAAATGTGACAGTCTGAGGTTACAATGTCCATTCGAATGGCACAAAGTCGGTCGTGGCTGCGGAGCGCCCTTTTTCCTGGCCATTGTGCGTTGAGGCTCAATCCCGTGTCCAAACTGCACGCCGCCTCTGTAATCCCGCCGTAATCCCCGCGCGGATTACGTGCCGTCGCTCTCGCCGGCGTGGGGCACGCTCGTCAAATTGCTTCCAGAACGGCAGGCTGATTTGACACGAAGATGAAAGGGGCGGGGCCGAGGCTTCAACACACCTTTTCCTTCCCGGCAGGACTACGAGGACTTCTTCCGGTCCAAAGAGAACAACACCGTCTTTGCCTTCCTGGGCGTCACTTCTCAAGCCTCTGCCAAAGTAAGGGACGCCCACTTGGGCGACATCCCACTTGACTTTTCGCGCTCTCGTGAATTGTTTAAAATGCTGCAGGCCATCTGACTTATTTCCTTGCGCCTCTCAAATCGGATGAGCAAGTTTCTCGCGGTCCGTTCACGTGGCCTTACTGCCAAAGGAGACCCTTGTGGTTGCATGTCACGCAAGACAAGAGCGTTTCCGATTGACGTCCTCCTCTGTCCAAATGATAAGGAGGGTGGTGTTGTTTGTTTGTTTGTTTGTTTGTTTTGTACGGCAGGAGTCTTAGAGGGCGGTAGCGAACAGCAAGGTGAAAGCTCCTCCTGTGTCTCCTTACCGCGGACGCCAAACGTGGGACTCCCTCCAAATCCTTTTGTACGTGCTGATCAAAGAGACTTTTCGACCGCAAAGAGGGCAGCGTTGACAATCATGAAATTGTTTGGCACCCTGTGTGCTCACCAGACGCAATATTTGGCACAGCCACACCACTTAAGGGGCTTTCCAGTTCAAGGGGTACAAAGGCATCATTTTTTTTTTTTTTTTTTTTTTGCAAGCGCACGCCCTAACCTCACCGAGTAGCGGCCACGGAAAGTTGGACAGAAAATCAGCCCCGACACCAGTTTGACACGCTCGTCTGCGGTAATGTCATGCGGGGGTGGGAGCCGCCGCGCTTCATTTTTTGTCACGGTCGTTTGCCTACTCCGAATTTTTGGTTACGCCGCTCGATTTGGTCGAGGGCCGTCTAATGTTGTGGCCACACTCACACGTTTCTCGTATTTTGTCACTCAAGTAGCTCAACACGCGAAGCAAATCCACTCACGTCGCCTGGACTTTTCCTCCTCTCGTTGTGACTTTTGCAATTCGGCAACTTGACCTTGAGGCTGAGCCGCCGCGCTTCATTTTTTGTCACGGTCGTTTGCCTACTCCGAATTTTTGGTTACGCCGCTCGATTTGGTCGAGGGCCGCTCCGCTCGTTTTGGTCGAGGGCCGTCTAATGTTGTGGCCACAAAGCGTGCGGAGGAAGTGTCCGTTTTTGCTCGCGTCTTGTCCTATTTTCCATGGGCTGCGCCATCGTGTCCAAGCCAGACGACTGCAACTTTTACATTTGTCGGGCGAGATGTCAATCTGCCACTGTGCAAAATATTAAAGTCTGTACGTTGACTCCATCCGATTCAAAGTGATGACTTGAGTGCATGTTAATGTCACGATCTTGAGCCTTTTTTCAGGTGACAAAGCCTCCCGTCCGTCATGAAAGGGCGTGCCCGCCGTTTTTTTCGTGATCTTTTTTTCCAAAATGGGCTCACTTCCATTCTTGCGACTTGGGAGAGAACGTGCTTGCACTTTGAGTGGAGGAGCGTGGCGCGATGCCTGACCTCTCGTCCTGCGGCACTCGGCGTTTCCCATCAAAACACGCCTCTGCAATCATTTACCCGCAAATCAATAGAGGAGTGAATACTCGTCGAGCACCATGAAGGAGACGCTATTTCAATGCAGGGGGGGGTTGTTATTTCACGGGACAAAATGTCTTGAGTTTTCCAAGAACACGTCTGAAAATTTGCAAGGCAGTAGAAACTACGGTGAGGATGACACTTGGCGGTTCTCCATCCACTGGTGCACATATTGGGACCCCCCCCCCCAAAAAAAAAAAACAAACAAAAAACTGTCATGGTTCACCTTTAATGATTGATCCAAATGTCAACACGCTTTTGCGGTCCGAGTCCACATGTTGCATGTTTCTGTGCGGCGCCTGTCCCGCAAAGGATTGGGCTCAACGGGGTCTGCTTTCCACTTTTGACTTTGCACAAATCGCACTTATCTTGGCAGTCACGCGTCACAATTTCTGGCTGAATCGTGGCAGGCTATCGACGACGCTGAATTATGATCTCCATTTGTGACGGGAAACTTCTTTATCTGACAGTAGGTGAGTGTTTTGCCTCTCTCGCCATCTGCTTAACGAGGCGTCCGAGAATCGACGTCAAAATCTTGGAAGGGAAACATTTTTGTGGGCAACAAAAACAGGTTCAATAACAGAGTGATGACTCGTTCAATGCAAAAAACAGTCGAGTTGAGGAATTTTACTTGTGCGTCGTCATCTTCAGCGGGTGTAGCCGAAGTTGAAAATGTTCAAAGCGGCATCAACGATCAATCAAATCTCACCGTTTGTAATTCGTTTCTGCCTCAGGTTTTCTACATCTCTTGGTGTGGACAGGTCAGTATTTGCCTTCATCGTAAAAAAGTACCCTCGAGAAACGCACTCGAGTGGAGAGTTGAGTTGAGCAACTTTGACTTCCCAGAATGCTACGGCGGCGACGTGAGGCTGGCGGGCCACGCGTCGTCACGTTGCTCCGGCCGCGTGGAGGTCCTCCATAGCGGCACCTGGGGCACGGTGTGCGACGACCACTGGGACCTCACCGACGCCCAGGTGGTGTGCCGCGAGCTGGAGTGCGGGTCGG